GCTCCTCTCGAGTTCGTACGCAAGTGAATGATCCTCTGGGGGAGCGCGACCGGTACCTAAATGCATTGAAGATGGGTTTCTTCTAGAAAAAGGAGGCGGAAAACCTGAAATTGGTGATGCAGGAAGGGGGAAACCTGAAAATTGAGATTCGATGTGATTCTATTCTCCGATTGACACGCTATCACGAAAGCACTGAAAAATTACTTAAAGGCAAAGGTCGGGCTCAGCACGCTAGAGAAGTAATTCCCGTGCCTGGAGGTTGTATGTGGGTAGCTGCACACATTGCAGCAACTTCCCACCTTGAAAAACCCCGTTAAGGCCCCGGGGCCGTCGGTTTCAATCCGGGACCGCCTCGTCAATCCGGGACCGCCCACCATCGCATGTACCGCATAGCACGCCGAGCACGGCAACGTAGATTGCAAGTGTAGCGAGGAGCGTCGTAGGGTGATTTGGATCTAATCAGCTGTTTGGTCGGTTTGTTTTGGTGTATCTTCTGAAAATCGTTCCTTACCGTTTTGCTTAGGCCTTTTTCTTTCGATATTATGTACTTTCTCATTTGCAAGGTTTTTCTTCCCTTTGGCATTCAGTCTATCGTCTATCTTTAATCACTCCTTTGGTAGTTCTCGAAGTGTGAAGGAATCGTTCATCATGGGTCTTTCCTCCCTTAAGTTTCTTCTCTGTTTTCTCTGTTGTTTTATGATCTATCATTTTTTCGACACGGATGTTGTCGTAGCTACATGTTACTGCATGGTACCGTCCACCTATGAAGATTTTCTTATGAAATGAAATGCGCTCTTCAATTCCTAAGTTGGGAGCACACGCTTTGAGCTGACAAAGTGTGATTAAATCTGTTTGAGTCTGGAGACAATTGTCTTTTATTTTTTTCTTCTGTTTATTTAGGATTTTTACCAGGTTTCTGGAAGCGGACAAGTATTCTTGGTATGGATTTGGAGCAATGCTAGACTTGTTAAATGGAACGACATGGGAGCAGAGTGGAATGTTTCCTAGAGTATCGCTCTGCGACCTTGATGTGAGTCACTTCTCGCCGGCTTCATGACTTCATAGCCTGTGGAATGTTCACTGAAGCTGTTTATAGGTTCGTGTAATGGGAAACGTGCAAGAACACACTATAATTTTGTCCTCATCATCAACATTTTCAATGAGAAGATAGTCAATTACTTGTGGTTTTGGTAAGTGGTTTTCGCAGGTATGAAAGCTTTTATGAAATCTCTTTTTTGAAAGCACTGTACGTAAATATTCTCCCATTAGAATCCTCCTGCCCTCTTAGGCTTATCCAAGTCATGTGTCTCAATATTCATTATTCCCCCTCCCCCGAACGATAGTTTTCCCAGGTTTTTTCCCCTGGCTGTGCATCACGGGTGTTTTTGTATTTCTGTCAGGTTATTAATGAACCATTGACTTTTTTCCTCTTTTAAACATTCGTTGAGATTTTTTTTTAAGGCATTTGATGCTTGCTGTGTTCACTTCGGGCTCATTCCTGTATTGGTTGCTGTTTGTTGCTGTAAGACCTTATCCAAATCGCCGATTTGTCAAAAGGCATCTTGAAACCAGTGGAATGCCATTCGATCCCGTTGGTAAGTTTTTATGAAAGGTTAGTGCGTTTAGATAACCTTGAGTGATTTAGAAAGTGACCAAGACGTGAGACGGTTCATTCTTAATTATCTGAAAAGTGATGGTGTGTTTGTACTCCGCATGCTCGCACTTCAGTCTGGGTAGGTTTCATTTCGCCTTAATGCTTGCTCGAGTTTTCTTCATTTTGGTTTTTCTTTTTGCCGTTGTCATGCTGCCAGAATAGTAGGCTTACTAGATTATTGCGAAACCCTTCAACGTCATGAAACTGAACTTCTGAGTCACTTGCCAACTAGCGGTGCCACATCGCTAGCTTGTTTTTCAAAGCTTCTCGTATGCATGGAAAAAGCTCAGAACGTTCAGAGATACTAATTTCATTGAATTGACCACAATTTCATTGTATTGAACACTACGTATATAAAGGAAAACTTCAGCTATTGCAGATGCAACTTTTCAACATTCTGAGGATGAATGTCGTCTTCGAACACTTTTCGCATTAGAAGCGCGATAGCTCTAAAATGTGTTTGATGAAAGAGTCCCACAGCTAGAGGGCAGAATTCCAGTTTAAGTGTAAAATGTGAAATGATGGGCAGCATATAGTTCATTCAAAAGTTTCGGAGAAATCGGTTAGGAGGGCATTTGATTCTGCTAACACTTGGTAGACCGCGCATGTGACGTCTTGCGACCTCGTGGGATTTCAGTGGAATTTTTAGCAATATTCTCATAGCGTAGCGAAATAATCTTGGTGGATGAAACTTCCCGTAGCACAGGCGGGGGGCACAGATCCGCTATTATCAATTTTTTTGATTTACTCTTTGTTATTCTGTCGAGAGGATAAAAATGAAACTATCTATGGGTCAACAAATCTTAGAGTGGTCTGACCTATGAATTGATGGAATTTCCGTCTTTGCTGGGTTTATTCGCTCAATTTGATAGGGAAACGCATCATTTTCGTCAAGCAACTGATCCGTTGTCAGCTTGATTCGATTGTTCCAGGTAATATTCGGCACGGATCTCGTTTTGGCTCTATGGAAATCCTATTTCGGTATAGAGGAGAAATTGAAAAGAAGCAATTCGATGCCACATGTGGCGGATGGAACTGAAGAGCCAGTCACACGATATTGGCCACCTCCTCCAGGTTTCTTATTTTGAGTCAGTTTATACAAAGCTTGTCTCGCATTTCTCACAAATTTAGCTCCTGACCTTGGACGGCAGCGAATGCGTAACGCACTTGGGCAGAATATTGATAACTCGCTGGTATCCCAGATATACTGGAGAGGATCGTTCCACCATATCGTACCAACCGGTAGGATACCTATTTTTATTTTGTTGTATATAATAATTGATGTGCAGTGCTAGGATTATTGTTGCATCTAAAACCTTTAGCGCTCCTCGTTATGTAGCTACTGTAAACGTTCCTCTAGTGGACCATCAAGAAGACAACGAGGCAAATGAGGCGCTGATTAGAAATCTTGACAGCGTTCGGTCGCAACTGCACCACCGATTCCACCGTCAACCCTCATTCAACGGTATGTGCGGTACATAATTATCGTAGTGGTTCACACTTTTTCTCAAGTATTTCTCTAGCCTACAGGCGCGCCAGATCTGCAGGGTAATTTACTGGGCGACTGTGTATGGGTTTTAGTGGGAAGTGCGGTGTGGAGTGCGGCGGCGTGAGGATTCCTTACTTTAGTTGACTCGGCCCTACTGTAACCCTTCCTCAAACTGTTCAGTTTTCCCGACCTGCCTGCGAAATCGTCCATTTCCAAATCGAAATCATCCGCGAAATTCAATGTAGTTTTTGCAGTTGGTTGCAATTTGCATTTTTTTCAGAGAAGAACAGGGAAAAGTAGAAAAAATGAAAAGTCCTCGAGAGTTACACCAAGGTTCGGTTCGAATTCGTCTGACTAGAATGTTGTGGAAGTGCGAGGTCCGAAGTCTGCAATACTCGCTCAGGGATCCGAAATGGATGGGTTGCCCGTGAAACGGTTAGGGATGAAAGCACTGGCTGCCGCCCCGGTGGATGTCTCCAAGAAGCGACTCAATGCTTTATATTGTGAAGAGGATGGAAGGTAGATTCGAATGTAAATGGTGATTGTTCGGAAGCCGAATAGTAACTGTTGTGTACAGTCAAGATTCAAACTGGTGACGTACCCGTCAGATACGAAATTTTCCTAAGTTTCAGTAAAATAACACAGTATCTTGTCATAGTACAATTTGTAGTTTTCACAAGTTCTACGCTTTCTACCCTACGTCCAAGATCAACAGGAAGCCAAGTATAAAGAAGTGCTTCCATGCAAGGGTTTCCTCACAGCTATGCATCCACTTCTCTCATATCAGGTATGTGAATCAATCGAAATCAGTCTAAATTAATGGTATTCAGCTTGTTTTATTTGGTTCAGGTTTTGGTTCGTTCAGGTTGTTGCTTTTCATCGAGCTGTCGGTGAGTTCCAAGTGAACGAGAGCTATGTGAAGTACGCGTTACACATCATGTCAACTTTGATGCCACTTTCATGATTGATTATGGCAA